AAAAAAAAAAAAAAAAAAAAAAAAAAAAAGTTGGCAATATATAAATGCATTTTAATTTTCATGACATCTGAAGTGCTTCTTTTACCATAGACGATCATAAAGGCGAAGATAACGGCAACGTCAGCAGACAGCAGTAGCAAAAACAACGACCCTTCATCAATATCATCATCATATCATCATCATCATCATCATCATCATCATCATCATCAGTCTCATCATCATCATCATCATCATCATCATCATCATCATCATTATCATCATCATCATCATCATCATCAAAATCATCATCTTTATCATCGTTCTCGTCCCCCTCCCCCTTCTTCTTCTTCTTCTTCTTCATCTCACTCCAATCGACGATAGCGACAACAACAGCACCAGCAGTGGCATCGGCATCATCATCATCATCATCATCATCTTGATCAACACATCTGGTTCAATCTAAAAACATTTGGGAATACAAGAGTTAATTGCTATAGCAAAAATGAAAATAAAAGATTGAAATAAGAAAAAAGTCTGACCATTTTAAACAATCATCTGCAATATTTCTCCCCCCACCTCTCCAAGCGTTGTTTTTGTTGCCTTATCCTTCTTCACCATCTTTTTGCTTTCCTCTTCTTTAACATCTTCAAATTCCACTTCTAAGTCAAAAACTTTGGAAACGCATCCATATATGCCACATCTAAACAGGACAAATTGCTTCAAACAGGCAACGAAAACAAGTTATTTTTAAAAGCAACATTTTTGCCTAATTCCTTTAAACGTAAAAAGTACATCTAACACAATTTTTGAGACTATTATGAACTTGTCATATTTTTCAAAATTTTCAACATCACCACTTCCTGCATTTTAATGGTAATTTTTTAAGGAAGAGGAGAAGGAAAAAAATGAAAGACATTTGTCAAATTTAACCATAGCAACAAAAACACCATCAGTTTTCACTTACTTACCGTACCATCCATCTAAGTTTCATTTAGATCAAAAACAAATTATTTCAAGAGAATAAGTGAGAGAGTGTGTGTGTTTTAGAGAGAAAGCAAAAAAAAAAAGAAAAAAACAACTTTTCAAACAATAATCATCAGTGGTGGTTTATGGTACAATCCGTGGTTGAACAACATTTTAAAAACATCTTAACCAGATTTTTTGCATACTAAAATTTATGTTCTAATAATAACTTACAAATGGATTGTTCATTTTATTGCTTTTAATTGCGAAAAAAAAGAAAATAAAAAAAGAATGAAAGAAAAAATAACTAAAACTTAAACAACTGATTCACAGAACACAATATCATTATTTACAATAACCACATATCACATTGATTCTAAGAAAACGGAGAACGGCACCCTCGTCTGTAAGCCATCATTTGGCTATTGATTTTAATTAAGATTTGAAAAGAAGAAGAAGAGGAAGAAGGACTAGAAGAAGGAGAAGACGAAGGAAATGAAGAAGAAGAGGGAAGGAAAAAACAACAGCAACAGAGATTAAAATGCTTTATTTTGCGTATACAATTTAAATGTAGACCTGCAATCTTAACTTTGAGTTTTCAAAGCTCAACCTTGTTTCTTTTATATTTTATTTATTTTTTTTCGTTCACCTTTGCCTTATCGATGTTATTCGTCTGATAAATCTAAAAAATTTTGTTTTTTTTTTTTTTTACCAACAAAAGCAAACACATGAACAATAAACGCACCTTTCTTTTCGCTTATATCTGATGAATAATCGTACTCTCTTTTTGTTTAATATCTTCTTCATTCTCAGCTAACCTTTAACAGGTTTTTTTTTTTGCATTTTTTGAAATTCACTGTTTCAGTGAACAACTGGATAGCCAATATCACCCACTGCTTCATTATTCCCCTCTTTTTACCTCCCACTGTTCCGTCTTTCGACTATCTATCGACCCCTTACCACAAAATAAACTAAAAAAAATTAAAAGCCAAAAAGATATTGCTTTTTCTATGTAACACAACCTATAGAAAGTAAAGAAGAAAAAGCCATAAGCCTAACAAACAACGGCGAAAAAAACCGCTATAATCATTTCCTTCTATTAATACTATTATTTTTTCGGCATATACTGTAAATAAACGGTCCAAATAAACAAAGAAATAAATAAAAAGCGAAAACATCTTCAACAAGAACAAAAAAAGCAAAACAAAATAAATTCCCCTTAAAAATCTCACTTTATCCGTCATCAACGACGTCACCAATACTTTTAATTGTTCCTATACAAGCTACAGTAATATTGAGACAATTCATTTCAGTTCAACTCAAAAAAAACTCGCAAAACGACATATTTCCATGTAATCTTTTTAATTTAACAGAACATTCTACGAGAATAATAAAAATAACTAAAACAGCTACAGTAAAACTGCAGTCACATGTAAGTCAGTGTCAGCCATTCACCTACCGCTCCTCGTCTGCTCCTGGCCATCTAAAAGCTGCATAGATGTGACCAACTTCAGACAATAAATTGCTAAATTATTAATTTAGTAGTTAAACCTGATAAACCCGTGTTCAAAATATAGCGACTATTGACAAAGAATGTATATGGCTATCACTTTTAAGCTTTTCTGGTAATGAGCAAACGGATTTTCAAAATGCAGACAAAAAATAGCGGCATTATCTTTTTATTCTTCAAGTTTTGTCGCCTGACAACACTGGGAAATGTTTCTGTGTACCAGTGCATTAAACCATAACAAATCT